TTCCGGCTACTGGGAAGGCTGAGGTGGAAGGATCGCCAGAGCCCAGCAGGTCGAGGCTGCGGTGGCCAGGAGCGGCCACTGCACTCCAGTCTGGGCGACAGAGTGAAACTCCAACTCAAAAAAAAAAAAAAAAAGATTTAACATTAACTTTCTCAAGTATCTCAATTTTTGGATTTTGTGTTTCTCTACAAACTTAGATTTCTTGTCTATCAAGAAAAAAAATAACAGCCTACTCTACAGTTCACATAGCCAAATGTTGCAATTCAGGTTAGTATAACTAAACACTTAAGACACTGCTGCAGCAATAGATTGCTATTAAAATATACAGTAGGTGGCCCTGTGCTCTTTGAGCTATGGCTGTCACCATGCTTCCTGGCTTTGGTTCCCTCCCCCACCTTGGGGAGGTGAATCTTCTCTCTCCCTTCTCTTTCTTGCTGTAATTTATCTTTAAATAAACTATATTTAAAGGTAAATAAATATACAGTAATGTGAATTTAGCCAGTTCTTCTGAAGTCCTGCCACACTGGTGAAATGGGTTTCACTTCTGATTCAGTCTTAATCTTTTACTCCTTTCAAATTGAGTTGCTTTTTTTCATGCTGAATGATATTAAAGTTTAACCTCAAGAACTAAGATTTACCTAAGCGAACACAACAAGTATCAGTCCATTTTACTAGTAAGTATGATATAATCAATTTAAGAATCCTAGCCCAAACATAGGCTAATAAACATTTAACACATTCATTCAACACTTCCTTGGTTGAAGGCACCGATATGGATGAATCTCAAAAGCATAATGCTAAGTGAAAGAAGCTAGACATAAAAAGACTACATACTGTATGATTCCATTCACATGACATTCTAGAAAAGGCAAAACTATAGTCACTGAAGGTTCCAGTGACTAGAAGGAGTTAAAGAGGGCCTGACTTACAAACAGACATGAAGAAAATTTAGGACTGATAGAAGTGTTCTTTATGATGATTTTGGAAGGGTTTGCACAAATGTATGCGCATTTTTCAACACTCATATTATACACTTAAAATTGTTCAATTTTACTGTATGTAATACTGTTTACATTTCAAGGTTGTTTTATTTTTATTTTTATTTTTTATTTTTGAGTCGGAGTCTCACTCTATCACCCAGGCTGAAAAGCAGTGGTATGCTAATGGCAGCCTCGATCTTCTGGGATGAGGCGATCCTTCTGCCTCAGCCTTCCAAGTAGCCAGGAACTACAGGCAGGCGCCACCACACCCAACTAATTTTTATTATTTATTTATTTATTTTTTTAAGTTGGAATCTCACTCTGTCACCCAGATTGGAGTACAGTGGCCGCTCCCGGCCACCACAGCCTCAATCTGCTGGGTTCGGGTGATTCTTCCGCTCAGCCTTCCAAGATCTGGAACTACAGGTGCGCGCTACCACGCCCCGCAAGTTTTTCATTTATTGTAGAGATGAGGTCTCGCCAAGTTGCCCGGGTAGGTCTTGAACCCGCGGGCTCAGGCGATCCACTCACCTCGGCCTCCCAAAGCGCTGGGATTACAGGCTGTAATTTTTTGATTTATTGTAGAGACGAGGTCTCTCCAAGTTGCCCAGGTGGGTCTTGAACTGGCGGTCTCAGGCAATCCATTCGCCTCAGCCCCCCAAAGTGCTGGGATTACAGGCGTGAGCCACTGCGCCCAGCTTAGTTGTTTGTTTTTAAAAGCACATCTAGGCCGGGCTGTAGTTCCGGCTACTTGGAAGGCTGAGGCGGAAGGATTGTAGGAGTCCAGCAAGTCCAGTCTGCGGTGGCCTGGAGCATGCCACTGCACTCCAGTCCGGGTGACAAAGTGAGACTCCAACTCAAAAAAAAAGAAAGCACATCTGGATTCAGGACCAGATCTTTAAAAAAAAAAGGTCAGGAGCAGTGGCTCAAGCCTGTAACCTCAGCACTTTGGAAGGCGTAGGCGAGAGGACTGCCCAGGTTTGAGACCCGCCTGGGCAACATGGTGAGATCGTATCTCTATAACAAATCCAAAAACTAGCTGGATGTGGTGGTGCATGCCTGTAGTTCCAGTTACTTGGAAGGCTGAAGTGGAAGGATCACCTGAACCCAGCAGGTCGAGGCTGCGGTGGCCGGGAGCGTGCCACCGCACTTTAGCCTGGTTGAAAGAGTGAGACTCTGACTCAAAAGAAAGAAACAAGTGAGGAAAAGCACACAGCCATTCATCCTTGCGTGTGCATAAGATATCTCTACAGACTATACAAGAAACTAGTTAATAGTAGTTGCCTTCAGGGAGGAAAGCTTGCTGTGGGAGTGAGAATAGGAATTGTATATATTTCTTTTATAACATCTGAATTTTATTAAAACCATATGTATTGCTTATTTGAAAAATAAATTACCCTTTTTCATTTTCTCTTTTTTTAACCAAGTGGATCTGTGGGAAAACTGTCCTTTCTGATTACAAATCTGGATTAAAACAAAATAGCTATTAAAAGGTGCCACCATCTGGAGGGTCATCTAAATAGTGAGAACACAGTTAGAACAATTAAATGCAAACCTATAAAATTGATGTCTCTACATCAAGATGAAAACTGAAGTTGAATCTTAAAATTTAATAAAAGCATTGATCTAAACAAACCATGTGGGCAGAAAAAATACATAAAGAATATATATATGTGTCAGGCTGTTTTTTCACAGTTGGCTTTAAACCTAAACATTAATTTTTTTAAATTTTCTATTTATAAGAAAATGTATTCAGATTTGTCTTGTGTATCATGTAGCAAATTATACATTACTAGAACTGAGAGTAGAACTAGGAATTAGTCTGTTTATTGAAAAACCAAGGAATTAGTGCATTTATAGAAAGACTTTTTATAGAAAAAGCAATAGAGAAATAAAGTACAGTCAGCCCTCTGTATCCATGGGTTCTGCATCCATGGAGTCAACCAATTGTGGATCAAAAATATTCAGGGAAAAAAATGGTGTCTGTACTGAACATATCATTATCCCCTACACTATTCAGAATAACAAATATATACATAGCATTTACACTATATTAGGTTTTAAAGGAATCTAGACATGATTTAAAATACACAGGAGGATATGCATAGGTACACCATTTTATAATAGGGACTTGAGCATCTGTAGATTTCGGTATCTGAGGACAGTCCTAGAATCAATCCCTCACAGATACTTAGGGAAGGCTGTACATATAATTAAATTTAGAAAGAAGTTGGGGTAGAGAACTTTGACAGTGAGTAAAAAATTCTCAACTTATAAAAAGATTTTCTGTTTTAACTTTCCTTAAAATCCTTTTAAAAATTAAAATAAATATTTAAGAACCAGCCTATGTATTTATTCAATTTAATGCATTTCTTTGGGAGGTTGAGATGGGAAGATCACCTGAGTCTAGGAGGTTGAGGCTGCAGTGAGCCAAGATCGTGCCACTGCACTCCAGCCTGGGCAACAGAGTAAGACCCTGTCTCAAATAAGAAAAAAAATTTTTTTTTCTTTGTTGCTGTATACAGAACATTGTATATTAAAATGTAGTAGATAAAAATGTATATAAAAATGGAACAGATCAAGAGTTATAAACAATTTTGATTCTCTATAACTATCCTGGGTTTTTCATTTTAGTTCAAACAGTCCCAAAACCTTATACTAATCAGCTGAATTATTTTCAAGTAATATTTAACTTGCCATAAACTTTTAAACGCATTTCCTACTATCTTTTTCAGTTCACAAAGACGATTCCTAATGCAGAGATAAACAGGGATAATAATAGCACCTTATGTTATTCCTTAAAAATAAGTATTCTCCAAAGCACCAGACACTATTTAAAACAGACCACTGAATAAGACAGAACACCAAAGCTTCCGGAAGCCTGAGATGTCTCTGTACAACACTATAGAAAAAAAAAAAAAGGACCCTTTCTAATTCTTTGAGGGAAGGGCATCCTGGAAGGGATGTGCAGATTTCTCTTTCACTTTATCCCTGGGTAGGCAACTTCAGTTGGTAAATGGTAAAGATTAATACTACTTAAAAGCTATTATTAAATGACCCCTTTTCCCCAGTCTCAAAAATTATAAAGCAAAATAAAGGTGGCATAGAAAAGATTTGTTTACTCTTCTGGTCCTCACCTTACTTACCTTTTTGGTCCTTACTCTGTACCATAAGGTAAAAGGAACAAGATGGGAAACTGGAGGAGGTTATAATTAACTTTGTAGAAAAGTTTTACTAGTTCTGAACATTGTTATACAAACCAAGGCTCTATGGTGGTTGTAATCACAATATGAGAAGATTTAAGCAGAGATAATAATTCACAAAATTATAATTTCAGGGTCACAAGAGATCATTTAGACCTAGTCCCAATTTTATAAGAAAACAAAATGCAAAGTATCTAAACCAAGGATAATGACCTGGGTATTCTACTACTACATCATGGTTCTTTAATCTGGATCTAAAATAACAGAAATGTGCAATTAGAACTATCTGAGGGGGTACCTATTCCCATACACAAAAATAAACTCTAAATGATCAATGAGCTAAATATAAAACCTCAAACTATAAGAACCTTAGAAAGTGCAAGAGACACCCTTAGGGAAATTGGAACTGGCAAAGAATTCTTGATCAAAACCCCAAGTGCCCAAGCTATAAGAGATAAGATAGACAAGTAGGACCTCATCAAACTGACAAGTTTCTGCAAAGCCAAAGAAACCATCAAGAGAGCAGAGAGACAGCCCACAAACTGGGAAAAAGTATTTGCCAACTGTATGTCTGACAAAGGCCTAACATCTAGGATCTACAAGAACTCAAACGTGCTGAAAAGAAAAAAAACAGCCCCATTACAAAGTGAGCAAAAGATATGAACAGACGATTCTCAAAAGACACACAAGCAGCCAACAGATACATGAAAAAATGCTCTGCCTCACTAGCAAATTTCTTCTCTGCTTTATCTCCTGTTCTCCAGGAGCCCTGGGTGGCTCTGCTGCAACCTGTCACCCAGCGACCTACAGGTACTGGGAGACCCTTAGGCAAGACGCCAGAACATCCCAGAAGCTGGGGAATGGTGAGTGCGCGGGACAGATGACCAGAGGTAGAGGAGGCTGGTTGGAACCTGCCAGGAACCGGCTGTGGTGGGACGTGGGTCTCTCCCTTGTCACCCTTGGAGTCTTTAGACCCAGATCCCGGCTAGAGCAGGTTGGTCCTCAGTTCTCCATGGTCGCAGAGTGGGGCTGGGACTGCAGCCCGGACCCTGGGAGTCCTTTTCTGTCCTGCTCAGTGCCTTTACCCCGGCTTGAAGCCCTCTCGGCAGCTCCGCGTCTGCAGCTCCATCTCCCTCAGGTTGTGTGGGAGTGTCATGAGGGGAGAGTACCGACCCAGGGTTTGGTTTGTGCGTGGGAGGAGCTGTGGTCCCTGGGATACCCCATTTCTCCTTTCTCTCCAGAGGTCATCCATTATACCCTTAGGCTGCCAAATGTATGGAAAGCAGGCTCCCAAGTCCATCACCTTAGCCCTCCAGCCTAATCACTGCTACCTAAATCCCGGGCAACCATTGATCTTTTCACTCTTTTATGGTTTTGCTTTTTTCAGAATGTTATTTACTTGGAATCATTTGTAGGTATTTCAGACTGTCTTGTTTCACTTAGTAATCACATTTATGGTCTCTCCACGCCTTTTTGTGGCTGGACAGCTTATTTTCTGGATAATATTCCATTGTAGCCGGGCTCGGTGGCTCAGCCTGTAATCCCGCGCCTTTGGGAGGCTGATGTGAGTGGATTGCCTGAGCCCGCGGGTTCGAGACCCGCCTGGGCAGCGAGACCTCATCTCTACAATAAATCAAAAAATCAGCCGGGCGTGGTAGCGTACGCCTGTAATTCCGGCTACTCGGAAGGCTGGGGCGGATGGATCGCCGGAGCCCAGCAGCTGGAGGCTGCGGTGGCCGGGAGCGGCCACTGCACTCCAGTCTGGGCGACAGAGTGAGACTCCAACTCAAAAAAAAAAAAAAAAATATTCCATTGTATGGATATACCACAGTTTATCCATTCACCTACTGAAAGATGCATCTTAGGGGGGTGGGATTGGCAGTTGAGGGAAACTGCCAGGGGAGAGAGGAGCACACACACACAAAAGAAATGCAAATTAAAACCACACTGAGATACCATCTAACTTCAGTCAGGATGGTCATCATCAATAACCCAAAAAATAACAGATGCTGGAGAGGATGTGGTAGAAAGGGAACACTTCTACACTGTGTGGTGGTAAACTAGCACAGCCTCTGTGGAAAACAGTGCGGTGATTCCTAAAGATCTAAAAGTCGACCTTCCATACGACCCCGCAATCCCCCTACTTACTGGGAATATACCCAGAAGAACTCAAATCACTCTATAAAAAAGATACCTGCACATCTATGTTTACTGCAGCACTGATCACAATAGCAAGAACATGGAACCAACCATGCTGCCAATCAAAAGAGGACTGAATAAAAAAGTGTGGTACAGATACACGATAGAATATTACGCAGTCATAAAGAAGAACAAAATCATGAACTTCACAGCAACCTGGATGGACATAGAGTCTATAATAATGAGTCTATAATAATAATAATATAATATATAATAATATAAAAATAAAATAATAATGAGTGATCTTTCACAGAAACAAAGAACTGAGTATCACATTTTCTCACTCATAAGCGGACCTCGAACAACTGTTGTAATACTATAAGAAAAGGATTGGCAGCCGGGCTCGGTGGCTCAGCCTGTAATCCCATGCCTTTGGGAGGCTGAGGTGAGTGGATTGCCTGAGCCCGCAGGTTCGAGACCCGCCTGGGCAACTTGGTGAGATCTCCTCTCTACAATAAATCAAAAAATTAGCCGGCCGTGGTAGCATGCACCTGTAGTTCTAGCTACTTGGAAGGCTGAGGTAGAAGGATCGCTGGAGCCCAGCAGGTCGAGGCTACAGTGGCCGGGAGCAGCCACTGCACTCCAAGTCTGGGTGACAGAGTAAGACTCAAACTCAAAAAAAAGAAAAGAAAAAGAAAAGGATTGGCAGTAGTGGGAAACTGCAGGGGCAGGGGGGGAGGGGGAGGTGGGATTGGCAGTAGTGAGAATCTGCTTGGGAAAAGGGGGCACACTTCATCAACAAGGGTACCTGCATAATGAACATTTGTATACCTAACCCTGAATTGCACCCCACATCTTTAAAATAAAAAAATTAAAAGTTAAAAATAATAATAAATAAATGAGGGGCAACCACCTCGGGTCCCCTCTCACTGTGGGAGCTTTTCTGTCCTCAATATATCTTGTTTTTTAAAAAAAGGGGGGGGGGCCAGGCTCAGTGGCACAGCCTGTAATCCCAGCATTTTGGGAGGCCGAGATGAGTGGATAGCCTGAGCCCGCCAGTTCGAGACCCACCCAGGCAACTTGGCGAGATCCCGTCTCTACAATAAATCAAAAAATTAGCCTACTGTGGTATCGCGTGCCTATAGTTCTGGCTACTTGGAAGACTGAGGCGGAAGGATCGCCAGAGCCCAGGAGGTCGAGGCTGCGGTGGCCAGGAGTGTGACACTGCATTCCAGTCTGGGCGACAGAGTGAGACTCCAACTCAAAATAAAAAAAAAAAAAAAAGAAAGAAATATCTGAGAATCTACATGTTGCTCATAAAATTAAGCTGAACCAGCCAGGCTTGGTGGCTCAGCCTGTAATCCCGCGCCTTTGGGAGGCTGAGGTGAGTAGATTGCCTGAGCCCGCGGGTT